CCTTGGCCTTTATCAGGTTAGAGGAGGATTTGCGGGCACAACCACATGCTGACAGTTATGAAGGGGGGCACCGCAAGTCCAGTACGTTCAGGAGGCATGACTACCGAACTGGCAAGCCTTACGCCAAAGCTGAAGAGCGACCCGTTACGGCAACGACGCATTGGCTCGACGATCCTGATCTACCTCCAGTTATTCCCGACTTCTGCTTCAATGTCAGTACAGCGGGGCTCATCAACTCGTTGGAGAGGTTGGGGGAGAAAGTCAGATGGCCCAAGAGAACCGACAAGCCAGCTGGAAAGCGAGACCCGAGCAAACATTGCGACTTCCACAACGACATCGGGCACAACACCGAGGACTGCGTCGCATTGCGAAAGGAGGTCGCTTATCTTTTGAAGAACGGATATCTGACGGAAATCATGTCAGAACGGACTAAAGCTCTTTTAGGACGAACTGACAAACCGTCAACTAAAGCGACACGACCTCCATCACCTTCGGCTCCCTGCCAGGTAATTAATTTTATTAATGGCGGGTCGGATTTATGTGGCCTAACGTATTCTGCTGCCAAGAGACACGCTCGGGAGTATTCCCGAGACAAGTCATTGCAGGTGTGTCAAGTAGAAAGACGACGTGACGATTGGAGAAGCACGGCCATCGCTTTTGACGAGTCAGATATGCCAGACCCTATGCAACCCCACCATGACACTCTGGTCATATCCCTTAGGGTGGCAAACTTTGAAGTGAAGAGGGTCCTTGTTGACAACGGAAGCACGGCCAACATAACTACCATGCGGATGCTGGAGCAGATGGGAATCAAAGAGGATGACATAGCAAAATCAGGATCTACCCTCGTCGGCTTCAACGGAGAGCCGAGCCGGACCATAGGTAATATCTCTCTCCCTGTTTACGCTAACGGTCTTAATGTGCAGGTCAGGTTCGATGTAGTCGAGGACCTCCCAGCTTACAACATGATTTTGGGGACGCCATGGTTGCATCAAATGGGAGCCATTCCGTCAACGTATCACCAGGTCGTCAAGTTCCCAACGCCTTGGGGAATAGAGTCCATTCGGGGAGACCAGGTGGTAGCCAAGTCCTGCTATCAGACGGCCATGAAGCCTACAGCAAACCCTCCAACTTCAGCATAGCAACTAAAGGGTGACCCAGCTTTGGAGGAAGATGACGAAAAAACGGAAGAAGTAGTCATCGACAACGAGCATCCAGAACGGGTCATCCGCATCGGGACAAATTTGCCAGCAAGCCTCAGAGCTGAATTGGTCCAGTTTCTTAGACAACATAAAGATGTATTCGCTTGGAGTCACAAAGACATGACGGGAATTGACCCGAAGATCATCACGCACAAGTTAAATGTCAATCCGTCATATAAACCAGTCAGACAACGAAGAAGACGTTTTGCAAGGGAGCGGAACGACATCATAAACCAAGAGGTCGAGGCTCTTCTCCAAACCGGGAAAGCTAGAGAAGTCAGATATCCAGATTGGCTAGCTAACGTCGTTGTCGTCAAAAAGAAGGCAGCAAAGGGAAAAAAGGCGAAATGGCGTGTGTGCGTGGACTTCACCGATTTGAACAAAGCATGTCCAAAGGATTCATTCCCCATGCCACACATTGACGTATTGGCCGATGCGACCGCCGGACATGAGATGCTCTCGTTCATGGACGCCTTTAGCGGATACCACCAGATTCAGCTACATTCTAATGATCAAGAAAAGACGGCCTTCATTACTGAAACAGGTACGTATTGCTATATTGTTATGCCATTTGGTCTAAAAAATGCAGGTGCAACGTTTCAAAGGCTCGTCACCATGATGTTCAAAGATCAAATTGGGAAAACCATGGAAGTATACATAGATGATATGATCGTCAAGTCAAGGAAAGCTGAGGACCACGTTGGCAACCTGGCAGAATCATTTAAGAAGTTGACAGAATATAACTTGAAGCTCAATCCGGCGAAATGCGCCTTCGGTGTGTCCTCAGGGGAATTCTTGGGCTATATTGTCAGTGAACGTGGAATAGAAGCAAGTCCAGAGCAGGTCCGAGCTATCATTGACATAGAATCGCCAAAGTCAGTCAAAGATGTGCAGAGGTTGACAGGCCGAGTTGCTGCTCTGAACCGCTTCATCTCCAAGTCATCTGACAGATGTCGCCTTTTCTATGACGTACTTCGTAAGAACAAGAAGTTCGAGTGGACAGATCAACACGAGCAGGCACTCCAGCGATTGAAGGAATATATGACAACCCCGCCGCTGTTGAGAAAACCGAAGGAGGGCGACGAACTTCAACTGTATTTGGCCGTCTCGGAGCATGCTGTCAGCGCCGTGTTAACCAAAGAAAACGACGGAATACAAACACCGGTATACTTCTTAAGTAAGTCGTTGAATGGTCCCGAAACTAGGTACGCTTTACTTGAAAAACTAGTTTTAGCTTTGATCACTGCATCGGTTAAATTACGTCCATATTTTGAATCACATACTATTTGTGTGCGGACTAACTATCCCATGAAATCGATCATGAGGAAACCAAAGTTGTCAGGTCGCATGGCCAAGTGGTCAATCCAGCTGGGAGCCTATGACATTCGGTACGAGCCACGAACTGCCTTGAAGTCCCAGACGCTTGCTGATTTTGTGGCGGACTTTAGCCCTAAGCTCCAAACCGAAGCCGAAAAAGAAGCATGCATCATCACAGACGGTCTGCCTCAACAGAAGTGGACATTGCACACAGACGGGGCGTCGAACTTAAACGGAGCAGGCCTGGGCGTAGTGCTAAAGTCGCCACAGGGGGACACTATGCTCCAAGCCGTTCATTGTGATTTTAACGCCACAAATAATGAAGCGGAGTATGAGGCGCTGATCGTAGGCCTAACTTTGGCAAAGGATTTGGGTGTCAAGCTACTCCAGGTAAAATGTGATTCCTTGTTAATAGTTAACCAAGCTAATGGTGTTTATGCAGCAAAGGATCCCAAGATGACGTCCTACCTGCAAGTCGTCATGAAATTGATGGCGTGGTTCGACGAGATCACACTTGAACAAGTACCAAGGGAAGAGAACACACAGGCAGACGCTTTGGCCGCAATTGGGTCATGTCTGGGGGCAGAGATCAATAGTAACATCCCCTTCGTCCACTTGACAAGTCCGGCAATGGACAGGTTGGAGTCCGTCAGCACAATCAGTTCGTCCTCACAAGATGACTGGACGCAGCCATACATAGCATACCTGAGACATAACATCTTGCCATCAGACAAAAAGGAAGCTAAGGCATTCCTCTCCAAGGTAACCAAATTCTTATTAATCGATGGTGTACTGTTTAAAAGATCTAAAGCAGGTCCATACCAAAGATGTTTAGCTCCTCAAGAGGCCATAAGGGTGCTCAAAGATCTTCATGAAGGCGAGTGTGGGAACCATGCTGCGGGCAGGAGTCTGTCTAACAAGGCTCTCCGATTTGGATACTACTGGCCAACCATGCGGCATGACGCAATCACCTTCACCCAAAGTTGTCAGGTTTGTCAAAAGCACGGTCCGATCCGTCATCAGCCGTCAGAATCGCTTCATCCGGTCCTCTCACCCTGGCCTTTTATGAAATGGGGAATGGACATCGTGGGAAAGCTGCCCGAAGCTCCAGGACAGAAGGTTTACATGTTGGCTATGACGGACTATTTCTCAAAATGGGTGGAAGCTGAGCCATTCCGTCAGGTACGTGATGAACAGGTAATATCTTTTATTAGACGTAATATACTTTGCAGGTTTGGCATTCCGTCGGAGATCGTGTGTGATAATGGGTCCCAGTTCATAAGTGCAAAAACCCGACGCTTCTGCGAAAGGTACAACATCAGGTTGGAAACGTCAACTCCTAGGTATCCGCAATCCAATGGACAAGCCGAGTCTAGCAACAAAATCATTGTGTCCAATCTGAAGAAAAGACTCGAGAAAGCACAAGGCAGATGGGCTGACGAGTTACCCCTGATATTGTGGGCTGACAGGACGACTCCAAAGAATGCGACCGGACAGACTCCTTTCTCCCTGGTGTATGGTTGTGAGGCGGTCATACCAGCGGAAATTGAAGTGCCGACTTCAAGATATGGGCTTATGACTGAAGAACGGAACAACGTCGAGTTAATACATGATCTTGACACTATCGACGAAATTAGAGAGAAAGCTAAGATCCGTCTACAGTCCTATCAACAGATGGTGGCAAAGAGTTTTAACAAGAACGTTCGGGCAAAAGTGTTCAAGAAGGGAGATTGGGTTTTGAGAAGAGCATTTGGAAATGAAGCAAGTGGGAAATTCAGCCCCAATTGGGAAGGTCCGTATAAGATCGTTGACATTATCGGACAGGGGGCATATCGCTTAGAATCAATCGACGGTAAACAGGTTCCTAGAAGCTGGAATGCGGTACATTTAAAACTTTTCCATTTCTAAATCTTTTTTATATCTTACTTAATGATCCGATTAGAGCGAGTCACTAACTTAGGCATCGGAGGGCCGTTGGCTAAAAGCCAACGGCCAGACTTAACAAAACTTTGAAGTGCAGGAAGCCAAGTGAAGCGCTGGGTAAGACCCTTAGATACGTCATACATCCTGCTGATCCTTGACGGTCCTGGGCACTATAAGAAATGCTCTATGGTAGACAAGGAAGGCTGAGACATATCAAAGGTATGGTGTGTATTTCGTTCTTAAAACACATACATAATTGCTTACTGACTTAACCATCGGAGGGCCGTTGGCTCAAAGCCGACGGCCAACTTTGACGGTTTGTAGTGAGTGCAGGGTCAACTTGAGACAAGCGGCAGAAGACCAGCTTACGAAGGACGGAAAGCATCATTTGCACCCTTACCGATTGGGTGTTGTACATCAACATTAAAAAGGGAAAGGGTTGGGCTGCCCATGAGAGTATCATGGATTACAGTCCCAACCGGCCCTTACAACATATATGTTTTTGGCCAAAATCAACATACATACATGACATCACATATATATACAGCACTAGTGCGCACAGACAGGATATAAAAGCGGTCACGTCAAAGTTTTCACATCAAACGTAGCAAAACAAAAGCCAAGCCTTGGATAAACCACCAAGTGCACAGGCTTAAAGCGTCAAAAGTATTTCCCGTCCTGGATAAACCACCAGGACTCCGGGACATCAGAAATGTTTATCAAAAACGTCAAGGAGAACGAAATAATCTAAGCATGTTTGGAGTCAGCCTCACCATCAGACTGACCCACGTCAAAGCCGTCCTCAGCAACAGGGGAATCCATATCCTCTTGAACCTTCTTCCAGGTGGCAATATCCTCTTCCGCATTCCAGTTGGCCGACTCACCTGCAAGGAAAGAGGCCATCAGGTCTCCCCGGGTTTGCCAAACGTAGTAGCAGGCTGCGTCAATAACTTCTTGTTTCTTTTTCCGCCCATAAGCTTCAAGCGCCTTAATCCTGTCAACAAGCCTTGAAATCTGTGCAGATTGAGCTGTCACTTCCTTTTGCAAATCCTGAACTAGCTTGGCATTGTCTTCCGCAAGAGAGCGAGAGAGTGATTCATTATGCTTAGACTCGTCAAGAGCTTTCTCCAGCAAAGCCACTTTCTCAGCAGCAACCAGACCAGCTTGCAAGCTCTGACAAGATCACACCATCACATCAGGAGACTGCTTACAAAGTAGAAACTAAGCAAAGCTATGTTTACCTGAAAAGCATAGGCCGAGGATGCAGACAGTAATCCAGCTGGGGGCAAGCCTTTGAAAACATCTGGAGATGAAGGAAGCATGAGCTTGTGTATTTCTCCTCTCATCAAGGATACGTCTTGTAGACTACAAAAGTCAGGGGAAAGTGACATCTTTACATCCAATGGCTTAAGGGCTGGAACAGTTTTGACCTCGTGGGGACGAGGTAAGTTTGGTTTGGTTTCAATAGCAACGGACAGCTTGGGAAGCTTTTGAGGAGTGGAAGCCAGTCTGGGAGAGGCTCTTTTCTTCTTGGAAGCCAGAGCAAGCAATTCGTGAGCAGATGGAGTCAAACGGGAGCTGGAAGAAGACATAGCCGCTGCAACAAAGCAAAAACCAGGAGATGGAGTCAGCAAAAGCAATCACACTACATTTGGGCAGTTTTAATCAGAAGATGTTTCGATAGTTACCAGTAGACACAGGGGGGCACTTGTTGGGAGCCGGCAGAGAAGCTTCACCCACCGGGAAAACAACCTGCATGGGAATATACGCATCTATATTCTCTTCTTCAACCTCTTTAGAGCCGTCAGAGTCCTGCCCCGATTCTTCAAGAGAGACTACAGAAGGAGTCGGCATCAGTTCACTTTTTGTTGAAATAAAGCGGGCAGAACGTCTTAATCCAGCAGGTCTAGTAGACGTGGGAGAGGGAAGTGTACCTGGGGATTCAGCGACAAGGCTGGCAAACCAACGCTCTTGAACAGGGATAGCCTGAATTTGTGCAGTTCTTTCTTTTGATTTCGGCCCAGAAGGAAGGGAAATCGTTTTCTTTTCTGGAACACAGAGAGTTGCAAACAATTTCAAAGTTATAAGGCACATGTATAGCAGAAATAAAAAAAAAATAATAATAAAAAGAAATAAAGTAGAAATTAAGGGCAACGGAAGGCCGGAATAGAGAGTTTCTTGTTCTAACCTTTTCGCAGGTCATCTTCGAGGAAAGACCCTTCGTTGCCAAGCGAGTCTCTGAGAACGAAGAAGTACCAGTGAATCCAACCCCTGTCATTCGCCTTGTCAACCTTGTGAATAAGTCTTGGTCTCTTGTCTTTCATTGCCAGCGTGAATCTGCCAGGACCGGAGGTGCGAAGGTCGTAGGTAAAGCCCAAATCCTCAAAATCGAAGGGAATGCTATGCCTCTCGCTCAAGACTTCTAGCGCACGAAGAATCCTCCACACCTGTGGCATGATTTGTGAAGGTGAGAGGTGGACGAACTCCAAGAAACCCCGGGTCAAGTGAGAGAAGGGGAACTTCATCCCAATTTTGAAGGGATAGTACAGGAAATTGATCCATCCAGGGCAAAACCAATCCATGCGTTCATTCGCTGCAGGGAAGCGGATGACAGCGTTGGGTGGAAAACCGGCGGATGTTTGAATGAGTTCGACTTGTTCTTCAGTAAGCTTCGCTTGTTTGGCACTTTTTGGTTCAAGAATATGTTGGGGAACGAACACTTGGGAAGCCATGGAAACAGAAAGGAAGCAAGGGAAGTGGAGTAATTCTTGAAGAAGACGGAGGTTTCGAATTGAAAGTGATGATGGCACCGGTGGAGTGTTCAATTAGAAATCTTCGCCGAACCCGAGACGCATTAATTCGAAGGGAAAGTTGCCCGTTTCAAATTCTCCTAGAGTCGGCGGCAACTATTCCTCCGAATTGGGGGCAATTGTTGGGCCATTAAATGATAATGGTAGATGCCGGCCCAATTTGTTATTCCCAGCAGAGTAGCCCCAATGAGGGGTCGAGATCCAGTCCGTTGGGGATAATGAAGGCTGGGTCAAAGCTTCCTTTTGGATAAGAAGGAATAAGCTTGGGAGGAAAGAAAAGAGCTGCGCACGTTCAAAATAGAGCCGGCTACTTCGGCGGGCAGTTGGAGAGCAAATAGGAGTGGAGAAATTATCATTTAAATAGACTACGTGGTAGAATAGAAGGACACCCTTTTCCCGATCGATATCACTGCTAATACTCTATCTTTTGTAGCTTTGATCAACTCCTGACTATTGCATAAAATCTATACAAAGTTCATACACATTTCTTGAAGATTTTCTTGTGCGAAGCCTAGTTTCTTTATTCTTAATTGTTGGAGGAAGTTGTTAATTTCTTGCTAAAACAGCAAAAGTGTGTGTGTATACGCACAAAGCTGTTATCGAAGTACTGCGTTGCATGTCTTTCGAAGCATGTTATCGAAGTACTGCGTTGACACAATCTTCACAGCCACTCCGGTCAAAGCTGGTCAACTTCTCAAAGTCCTTGCACAGTTGCCTGATCAGATCATCTAAAGATCTAATATTTACGTAACTGATGATGGGTATTCTGGCTTGGGGATAGGCAGAAAGTTCTTGTCTCCTCGCTTTTCTTTTCATTACCTCATAGGCACAGTCTACTGTAGGCATACGATCTGCCCCTTCATTGATATGATCATTTGCATAAAACACACTCACTGGTAAGTTCAGATTGAGGAGAGCTTCTGCAGTGCTAAGGAATAAGTGGCTTATGATAAATGATATCTTGAGATTCTTTTCTGGCTCCGTCAATGGCTCTTTCTGTTTGGGATTTGGCTTGCACGTTTCTGATTCAGTTGGTGGGTTTTCTGTAACATTCAAACTGTTAATTACTAATTACACAGTTACATAAGAACAAAGGGGGCATTTTTCTACTTTATTTTAAAGACAAATGTATAAGAACCTGAAATTATGGTAGGCGCAGTTTTAATAACTTGATCCTGGCAAAGTTCTTTATCTCCTGCAGCATCACATAAGCTAAGAGTCATGTTCTTCCACACCCCATTTTCACTTGGCATAAATCAGCTTCATGTTTGACATAGACACTTTGCATGTAAACTTACCTTCTGGTGATTTTGCAATTTCTTTGATAACTGATGTCTAGATTTTGTCCTGCATTTTGGTGACTACTCTTGTGTAATTTCATTGCATCTTTCTGCTACTAGAGAAAGTCAAAAAGTAAAACCCCAATCTCATATTGATTAGCACAATGCTAAATGTTACGGAGTATTTACTTTATGAAAGAAATTAAAAATTTATGAAAACTGAACATGTAATGTCAAAACTTTTGATTCACAATGCACTATTTCTTGTCCACCTTCTTCTTTGTCAAACTCATAGATATTTTTTCTTTCAACTCGATTGAATGTTCCTCACTCAATTTGCCTTTTACATTAGAGGTGCTATCCACATTGCATTTCACCTGTTTCTTCACCTTCAAAATGGGTGACTGTTGTTTCAGTGTGTTTGGATGTGTCTTTCATGTAGATTTGAATCCGACTTTCTTTCTTCTTAATGGCTATCTCCTTGACAGGCTTCTCTTGTGCTGTATGTTTAGCAAAAGGAGGCTCTGTCAAGGAATGTTTGGCCCGGTTCAGTAAAGGCTCCTCCCTCTTTGGAACACTTTTTGATTCAGTACTATTATTATTCCTTACAGATTGTGGAAGTCTGTCCTCCATATGACTTAGCGTTGGTTTGTGAATATCCAGTTTTGGCTTCCCTTGTCAATGTGACAAGAGGCTACCACCTCACTGATTGTAAAGACAATACCTCTTGTCTTTACAGTCTTAGCTATAAACAGGAGAGGAGAGCTTTGGGGCACCGGCTACGTGTTGCTGTGTGACCGTGAGGTGGTAGCCTCTTGTCACATTGACAAGGGAAAGCTTGCCATCTACATTAATGCTAGAAAGACAATACCTCTACCCCCGGGAGCTGAGTGGTTGTTTCTGTTAAGACCCAGACTCGAGCAAGAAGTGGAAAATAACATTAATGCTAGAAAGCCAGTGAAATTTGGCAAGCCACATGACATCCTACTTTATTTCGCATTCTAACCGCAAACCCTAAGCCCATTTGTAGCGGGGTTTGCTTATTTTACATCGCTTTATGATTGTTAGGAACCCTGCGTACTTACATGATAGTTAATACTTACTTCGTGCTTTGTTGCAACCGTTTGACTTTCACGCTTGTCAAGGAATGACTTTGAACATGAATATACATAATTGGGTATTAGTAAAAATTATTCAAATTGCACAGAAAGTGTTTCAAGAACAGAAATTATTCAAAAATCATTCATATGGCACAAAATAATTCAAATTGCAACCCATTTGTTACGTTTCCTAAACAAGCACTGAAAGTGTTACCTTTTCAAATTGCAATGCTCATAGATTAATTAAATGAAACTGCAAATCTCTAAATTGTGAGATAGCAGTTTTATCATTCAACAATCACATTGAGAACCAAAGAAATGTAGAGGAACATTACCAATAGAGGGTGTAGATGAGAGAAAGAACAATAATATTAGCATGTCCACCATTCAGAAAAGACTAATATCTCTGGGGGGCCTAAATTGAAGAGGATGAGTTACGGGTGTGGCGTTTATGCCCTCTTTCCACATCTTGATGGTCTTATCAGCCTCGCAAGTAATCAGCCTTGAACCCGTGACATCATATGCCATTGCATAGATGCCAGCCTCGCTTTCCAGTGACCCGGGTTGAACAATTGTCTGTGACTGCTGGAAATTGTGGCCACTTCTCCAATCCCAGAAGCACAAGCTCCCATTATCGCCTCCTGTAGCCATTACACCTTCCTGGTTAACAGCCATGGCGTTGATAATTGCTTTCTGCTGGGAAAGCATGTCGTGCAGAAACTTTCCTTGTGGAAGGTTGAACTTTTTGATGTTGTCAGCAGAGGCAGACACAAAAGCATCCTCCTTTGGGTGCAATGCCATTGCTCGGACAGATTTCTTGTGGTGTGTGAGTGTTGACATGGCCTTGCCATTCCTGAGGTCCCAGAATTTCACAGCTGAATCATGTGAGCCAGTAATGACTTGAGGGTCCAATGGCCGAGCAAGAACGGAGCAAACTGTGTTCTCATGCCCTGACAAAGCACGAACTTGAGTCTTTTTCCTGATATCCCAAACCCGGCACACAGAATCACGACCCCCAGTAAGCAGGACATTAAGGGTGGGGTGTAGAGCCAAGCAATAGACACCGCTTAAATGACCATGATAAGACCGAATCACCTTGTTCTGTTCTAGATCCCAGCACTTGACTTGTTTGTCATCACCAGCAGAGAACATGTAGGTATGCTTGCTGCTGACGGCTAGGCCTCTTATTTGTTCAAGATGACCGGTAAGGGTGAGTTTCAGAGTCCCGGTTGCTAAATCCCAGATCTTGATTGTTCTATCTGCTGAGCCTGTGCAGAACCATGTATTGCTGGGGTCCACTGCAACGCACCGCACCGAACCCAAGTGCCCGCTGATGACCCTGTACTTCTTCCAGGGCGCATGCCGCTCACTTGCTGTTCTTTCCATGGTTGCAGAAGTTGTTTTGGAAGAAGGGTCTGTTGCGGATCGTGTTGCAGAAGTTGATACGCAATATGTATATTTACTTTTCATTTACGTAAATCATGTGCTATTTATATTCTCATACGCCTTTTGTTTAACTTCTTTCCATTTATATTCTCATACGCCTTTTGTTTAACTTCTTTCCTAATATACTCACAATCATGATGGATAACAAATTTTAACTGCCACCGATTAACTTCAAAAAAAAAAAGGGCACAAGAGTCGGATAGGGCCTCGAACTTACAAAAAAATGTCAAATAAAGCCATATATAGGATATTCTGTACGGCCGATGCCATTTGGGGTGATTTCCAGTGAAATTTTTCGATGAATTTTTTTTTAGCATCTTATTCATTAAGTCTAGTTTACTCATATCAAATTTGAACTAAAAATTCAATCGGGAAGGAATTCAAATGAATTAGTTTTACGTTCAAATGATATAAGAAAGATAGTGTTGTCGTCCCGGTGCATCCCAATGCGG